GTGTGTGTGTGTGTGTGTGTGTGTGTGCCGCTCTATCGCTGCATCAAAGTTTCAACCGGGCCGCGTTTGTATGGCCCTTGCGCGATAAATTAAGAGGCGCTAATTACGGTCCGTGCACAGACACTTCATCCAACTTAGTCCCGCGCATATAACCGATATAACCGAGAGATCTATAACGGAGGACCGTATCAGCCGAGACCGCACGAACGCTGCAAGTTTAAATTATAGGAGAGCACGTGCGGTTTCTAAAGAGGGACGCGAAACTTATTTCACGTTAAAAGACGGATGGATTTTCGATAGGAATAGGTCCGGATGAACTTCGCGAAATTCATCGCGGATCGGATAATATGCCGAATATCCTCGAACGGTCGACGTCCATGGTTGACGTAACATGGACCGCGTCGCGTGTCTCGAAAGCAGCGAAATACCTCGGCGAACTGCCTGCGGTATTAGTCTTCTTAACGTGTCAAAATTGCATCTCCGCCGCGGAGAGAATCGATTCTTCATCCTACTCCTTGCAAACTCATTAGTTTACACAGCAACACCGTATACGCTTCGCCAGACAAGGGGTCAGGGAAGATCAATGAGTGGATCAAGTCTGGCACGTTGATCGAGCATCGCCGTTCCGCGAGTACGAGTATCTAAAAGCTTACGCTGCGGGACGACGCTAAAAAAGCGCCCGAAGGGACTAAGATTAAAAGAGCCCGAGTAAATAACGCAAAAAAAGCCCTCCGCTGCCCTCCCCCTCATCCCCCGTTCCTTGACTCGTAGATACGCGCGCGAAGTAGGTAAAGAGGCGAGCCGGCGGTTTATACTTTCGGCAGTTAGGGGAGGATACGGATGGCATGTATACGCGAGTTACGGGCAGAGTCCGGGCTGTAAATGCGGTGCATTAATTCGGACCGCGTTCGCGGTGCATTTTCCCCGCGTGCTTGACGAATTGATGCACCCGCGGAAGCGCTCTGAGGCGTTTTTTTTCTCACACGCGATAATATACGCGCGCAGGTACCAGCCGGAGATGGGCTAGGGGTGGCTATCTCCCGATGCTCGGCAGAGAGGAGGAGAGAGCGCAGGGTAGCACAGTGGAGGCGTGGTGAGGATGGACCCGTGCGAAGAGGGCCGCGCGACAGAGACGAGGCTCGCCGAGGCCGCGGATTCGATCGCGTATCGCGCGCCACGCGGCATTAGGATGCAGTGATCGGGGAGGGGTGGTGGTGGTGTGGTGCGAGGAGGTCAGGAGAGAGGAGGTCCGCGAGAGTGGACGACGACGACGATGCATCACGCCGGCGGTGGCGGCGGCGGCGACTGAGTCGACAAGGCACACAGGGGATA